TATTAAATCTAAACTATAATAAACATAAATAATAATAAATCTAAACTATGTTAAATCTAAACTAAAATAAATCTAAACTATAATAAATATAAAGCAGGTGTGTTCAGGGTCTCAGGTCTCCTCAGGTATAAAAAGTAAAACCTGTTCACCTGCCGCTCCATGAGGGCCTTCTCCGTCTCCAGCTGGTCGTTCAGATCTTTCTCCTGGATCAGTTTCAGCTGCAGCTGCTCCGTCTGCTCGATGGCCCTCTTCTGCTTGGCGGCCCACCTCTGCTCGCTCTCCTGCAGCTCCTCTGCTTCAGCCTCCAGGTCGATCAGCCTCTCCTGTTAGCAAAATATCCCTCATTCCTCTCAGCTCTCAGGTTGGTTACAGAGGCTCAGAACCGTTACAGGACAGGAGCAGTTCTCCTACCTGAGCCAGCTTCAGCTGTTTGGCCAGGTCGTCCTTGGCCTGGTTGGTGTTCTGCAGGTCCATGGTCAGGTCGTCCACCGTCCTCTCAGCCTGCTTACACTGCAGCTGCAGCCGCTCCCTCAGCTGGATCTCCTCCTCCAGAGTCCGCTCCTTATCGATCAGCTTACCTGAGACCTGCAGACAGAGTCCACAGAGACCCTGAGCCTGGACCCGTTTGGTTCCTGTGTTSTCCAAGGCTCAGGTGGAGAACAGGCGGACCCTACCTCTCCTTGCAGTTTGACCACGAGAGCCTGAAGTTTCTGAACCTCCTGGTCCTTCTCCAGAAGAGCCTCCTCCAGCTCCTCCATCCTGGCCTGGTCGTCGTCTCGTAGTTTCTGCTGCAGGTTCAGTTCTGCCGAGGCCTGCGTGGACATCTGGACGGCTTCACTCAGCTGAAACCAACAGAAAAAGGTTAAACCTTCAGTCCACCACAGTCAGGTCCACAGACCGGTCTCTGAGGGGTACCTCGTCCTCCAGCCTCTGGATGGAGCTGCTGAGTTCAGACGTCTTCTTGTCTCGAGTTTCTTTGTCCACTTCCAGCTCCTCCACCTTCCTCTCCGCCAACCACAGCTTCTCAGCCAGAGTCTGAGCGTGCTGCGTTTGTTTCTCCAGGTTCTCCTGAACTCAGAACAGAACTCAGCTCAGGTCTACAGTCCTGCAGGGACCTACAAACACCAGGAGGATCAGAACCACGGGTCCACTCCTCGTTACCTCTGCGTCCTGAATCTTGTTCTTCAGCGACTGCTGGAGGAAGTTGAAGGCGTACTCCTGAGTRTTGGCCTCCACCATCATCTCTCGAGCTTCTTTCACTTCGATCTGAACAACAGAAACAATCAGTGGAGCAGAATCTCTCCAGAACCACTTAGAGCCAGAGTCCGTTAGTCTGCGCGGCTCACCTCCATCTCCCTGATTCTGTCTCTCAGAGACTGGTTGTCCTTCTCCATCTCCAGGAACTGCTCCCTGTTCCTCTTCAGCTCGTTGTTCAGCTGGGTGTTGGTCCTCAACAAGTCCTCATTGTTCACCAGCAGGGCCCGCATCTCGAACCTGCAGAGGACCGACGATGGGATCGTTACCAGACTGTTAAACCCTTACAGGACCGTTACAGGGCCATTATAAGACCAATACAGGACTGTTACAGGACCGTTACAAGTTCGTTACAGGACCGTTACAGGACCAATACAGAACCGTTACAGGACCGTTACAGGACCATTAGAGGACCAATACAGGACCGTTACAGGACCGTTACAAGTTCGTTACAGGACCGTTACAGGACCAATACAGAACCGTTACAGGACCGTTACAAGTTTGTTACAGGACCGTTACAGGACCATTAGAGGACCAATACAGGACCGTTACAGGACCGTTACAAGTTCGTTACAGGACCGTTACAGGACCAATACAGGACCGTTACAGGACCAATACAGAACCGTTACAGGACTGTTACAGGACCGTTACAGGACCTATACAGGACCGTTACAAGTTCGTTATAGAACTGTTACAGGACCAATACAGAACCTTACAGGACTGTTACCGGACCGTTACAAGTTCGTTACAGGACCATTACAGGATGGTTACAGGGCCATTATAAGACCAATACAGGACTGTTACAGGACTGTGACAAGTTCATTACAGGACCATTACAAGACCAATACAGGACCGTTACAGGACCATTACAGGGCTGTTACAGGACCGTTACAGGGCTGTTACAGGGCCGTTACAGGGCCGTTATAGGGCCATTACAGGACTGTTACAGGGCCATTACAGGGCTGTTACAGGACTGTTACAGGACTGTTACAGGGCCGTTACAGGACCATTATAGGGCCATTACAGGACTGTTACAGGACCGTTACAGGGCCATTACAGGGCTGTTACAGGACCGTTACAGGGCCATTACAGGACTGTTACAGGACCATTACAGGACCATTACAGAACTGTTACAGGACCGTTACAGGACTGTTACAGGACCGTTACAGGACCATTACAGAACTGTTACAGGACCGTTACAGGACTGTTACAGGACCGTTACAGGACTGTTACAGGACCGTTACAGGACTGTTACGGGGCCATTACAGGACCGTTACAGGACTGTTACGGGACCGTTACAGGACTGTTACGGGACCGTTACAGGACTGTTACGGGGCCGTTACAGGACCGTTACAGGACTGTTACAGGACCGTTACAGGACTGTTACAGGACTGTTACAGGGCCAATACAGGACTGTTACTGGGCTGTTACAGGACTGTTACAGGACCGTAATAGGACCAATACAGGACTGTTACAGGGCCGTTACAGGACTGTTACAGGACCAACACAGGACTGTTAAAGGGCCGTTACAGGACTGTTACAGGACCAATACAGGACTGTTACAGGGCCATTACCGGACCGTTACAGGACCATTACAGGGCCGTTACCAAACTATTACCAGACTGCTACCTGATCCTTACAGGATCAGTGACTCAGTTTAACACAGAAAGAACTGAATGGCTGGACTTTTAAGTACCTGATCTGGTTCCTCTCCTTCTCCATCTCAACACTCTCTGCCTCCAAGAACTGATTACGCTGCAAAAATAAAAACAGACGATGACAACACGGTTCTTTAGACAGGTACATGCTCCCCAGCTTCCATGGCTTTGATGAGATTTACCTTCTGACAGGTGTCCAGCTGTTTGGTCAGTTCTTCTATAAAGTCCTTTCTGTTGGGGTTCCCTAGGGTGGCGGACCTCATGGTGTAGTGGACCGGCGCCACCTGCTGACAGAACATCAACATGTCACACAGAGTCCACCCAACGACACATATTCCGTGTCGTAAACTTACTGTGTTGACCACATCGGTCCTCCTCCTCAGCGTCTCGTAGGCGGAGAAGCGTGAGCGGGGGGCAGTGACTGTGGRGCTGGGGACCCCGATCGGACTGGGGCTGCGGCCGTTGAAGCTGTACAGGTTCAGTTCTGAGGTGGCAGGAGACAGTCCACCCTGGACCTGGAGACCCCCGCAGAGTAAAAATACAATTTTTAAAGATTCTGTGTAAAAGAGCCTAACGACAGCTAAAGTCTGCTAAAAAAAAAAGCTGAAACCAAGTTGATAAAAAAATGAAGCAGAACACTAGCTAAAAGCTAAAAGAAGCCAAAAGCTAGTTAAAGTTTCAGAAGATTAGCTAGAAGCTCAGTGAAGCTAAATGCTAAATAAAAAAGGCAAAAGCCTAGCTAAATGTATCAAAAGGAAAGCTATATCTATTGAGACGCTAGCTAACAATAGCAATGGTTAGCTAAAGCTAGAAAAAAGCTAACTGAAAGCAGGCAAAGGCTAGCTAAATATAAAAACAGCAAAACTGTGGCTAAAAGCAGCAAATTGTTAACAGCTAATTCAATTCAATTCAAAAATACTTTATTAATAGTAATAGTATCAAATTTAGCTAAGTAGCTAAAAGCCTGCTAAAAACAAATGGCTAGCCTGAAGCTAAAAGTCACTTGATAAAAGCAGATTTTAAAGAGAACAAAGATTAAAATAAATAAATAAATAAATATCTCCATACACTTAGATGTGGAAAACAATTTAAATATTTTGGAAAGTATTAAAGTTATAAAAGCAAACGTTACATCAGCCGTCTGCTGAATGAGCTGAAGGTTTTAGTTTACAAATGGCTAAAATAGCACAAAGTTACAATAAGTATTTTCTCTAAACTGCAGTAGATTAAAAAGTTATCTACAGCAGGTAAGATACTAACTGTTCAGGTAAGATACTAACTGTTCAGGTAAGATACTAACTGTTCAGGTAAGATACTAACTGTTCAGGTAAGATACTAACTGTAGGATACTTTAAAAGAGCTGAACTGTCCCTTTAAAGTTTTACTGGTACAAACCTTAAACTCAGACATTCTGTGAGATGGATTATATTCCATCGATGTGGTCGAGATGTACGGACTGTTGAAGACTCTGGGGGGGCTGTCGATGACACCCGCCTGGAAACAAACAAACAAACAAACAAACAAACAAACAAACAAACAAACAAACAAACAAACAAACAA